AACGTTACGGTGCAAAGGTTATCGGATCAAGTGCGAGCTATTAAGCGATGTAATTTGTTGAATAGCTCTGTACTTGAAAGGCTACGCTCCGACTTACAGATAAGCCTCACTACTTTTCCTTCTTCACAAGCAGTCACGCATCAAGCAGTTATGCATGGGCAAACCGTATACGAAGGTATAAAAAAAGAGTGGACCGATATACTCAGAATCGCACATTCCAAAGGGACGAGAGGTGGGTTTATAGACGGTGGGCGCAGCTTGATTTAGTGAGTGATGGACATTTTCCAGATGTTAAAATTACTAATACATTTTGGCGTAACATATGGTCGATGCCTATCACTCACACAGAGGGTGAATGGATGCGAGATGTCGAACGATCGTTTGAGTCAATCAATACAATGGAGCCAGTATCAATTTCAGATATGGATATAGCTTATGCAGTTCGTTCGCTACCGAATTGGAAGTCAGCGGGACCGGACGGACTGCATAACTTTTGGTTAAAGTGGCTCCGTAGCTCACATGTACGTTTGGCATCTCATTTTCAATCATGCCTAGAATCAGGTTCGCTTCCATCTTTTATGACTACAGGACTAACTCACCTAGTCTATAAATCTGGTAGTGCCACGGATCCCAAAAATTATAGGCCAATAACGTGTCTTCCGACGTTATATAAATTACTAACGTCCATTCTTAGAGTGAAGATAACATCTCATATTACGAACAACTCTATTATATCTCACTCTCAGAATGGATGTAGAGGTGGGGCACGTGGCACTAAAGAGCTCCTTATTATTGACATGACTATTAACCAACAAGTTCGTCGTAACCGAAAAGATCTGTCGACATGTTGGATAGATTATAAAAAGGCTTATGACTCTGTACCGCATACGTGGCTCTTGAGGGTGATGGAGTTGTACAAGATTGATACAACTCTATGCACTTTTATGGAGACATGTATGCGGCAATGGAGAACGGTTCTTTGCTATGCAGGATGTCGGCAATCTCAAGGCGATGGCGAATATATAATGATTAAGCGGGGTATATTTCAGGGTGACAGTTTAAGTCCCTTGTGGTTTTGCTTAGCTTTAAATCCTCTCAGCACTATGTTGGAGGGTTCAGGGCTAGGCTATCGTTTGCAGAGAGATGGTAAGGTTATATCCCACCTCCTTTACATGGATGATTTAAAACTGTTTGCTTCCAGTAGTTCCATACTGATGAATTTACTAGAAATAACTAAAACCTTTAGTAAATGTATCAGGATTGAATTTGGTGTAGATAAGTGTGCAATCATGCATGTAAAAAGAGGCAGGGTTGTGGAGTCTGATAGGTTGGAACTCTCAGATTCTACGCACTTTACATGTCTCTCAGCTAACGAAACTTACAAATATCTGGGTATGTCACAGGCGTTAGGTGTAAATGAGTTGACTATGAAACAATCGTTACAGGAACGCTTCTTTAGCCGCCTGAAAAAAGTATTAAATAGTCTTTTATCAGGTGGTAATAAGGTGAGAGCCTATAATGATTGGGTCATACCAGTTCTAACTTACTCTTTTGGCATACTTAGATGGACTCAGACTGAACTAGATACCCTGGATAGAAGAGTTCGTACATTGCTTACTGTATACCGAATGCATCATCCACGTTCATCGGTGATGAGGTTATATATTCCACGAAAATGTGGTGGTCGTGGTTTACTAAATGGACCAGGACCCTCCATAATCGTGAGATATGTAGCCTGAGGAATTACTTCCTTTCTGTTAATGTGGATATTCGTAGGGATGTAGTAGCAGTTGATAACGGACTCACTCCGCTTGGTCTAGGTAAAGAGAACTGGCGCAAATTTGCAGTACTCAACATTACTGATCGTAAGGAGATATGGAAGGGCAACGAGCTGCATGGACATTTTTATCGAGCCTTGAACAGGCCTGAGGTAGATCAACTAGCGTCTGTATTCTGGCTTCGATTCGGTGACCTCTTCGGGGAAACTGAAGGTTTTGTCTTTGCAATTACTGATGAAGTTGTTATGACGAATAATTATCGGAAGTATATCCTGAAGGACGGCACAATAGACATTTGTCGGGCATGTCATTGTCCTGGTGAAAGCCTTAGACATATAATTTCCGGTTGTGCTCGTCTTGCCAACGGCGAGTACTTGCATAGACATAACCAAGTGGCCAGGATTGTCCATCAGCAACTTGCTCTTAAGTATAGCCTTGTGACTGTAGAGTTACCGTACTACAAATATGTGCCCGACCCAGTTCTTGAAAATGGTCGTGCAACGTTGTACTGGGATCGCCCTATTATCACTGACAGGACTATAGTTGCCAATAAACCTGATATAGTGGTAATAGACCGATTGGAGCGCCGAGCAATGATTGTTGACATTACCATTCCACATGACGACAATCTCTTGAAAGCTGAAAAAGATAAACAAGTGAAGTATTTGGATTTAGCCCACGAGATTGTTACATGTGGGATGTTGATTCGGCAATCGTTGTACCGATAGTCATATCGGCCCATGGATTAGTTGCTAAGAGCCTCGACCAACATCTTCAGAGGCTCGCGTTAGGCAGTTGGATTAAGGGTCTGATGCAGAAAGCAGTTCTTCTCGATACGGCACGTATTGTGAGGAAGTTTCTGTCTCTGGAGTCCTAACCACCGATATCTTGGTCTCTGTACCCGATACCGATGGGATACTATTTTTTATATTTTTAAATGTATTTTATTTTTTGTTTTTGTATATAAATATATTTAAAAATGTAATTTATATGTATAAAGAATGAAATAAAGAAATAATAATAATAATAATATCTTTATTAATTTCTTAAACATCTTACAATCTAGTGGCTGGGGTCTCCTGTTAGGCAATGAGAAGCCTGTGTTAGGAGACTCCGCTCCTCCTAATGTTCCACGATAGCGTATAAGTAGAAAAAAGAAATAAATAAAAATGCAACTATACTATATAAACCAAATCAAGAGAAGATCATTAAGCTACCCACACCACTCACCCATTACAGTTTCACCCACCCACACACATTCCACACTCATACACACACACACACACATATGCACACACATATATTATTTGTATTAGTCTTTTTCTGCAAGCCTTAAGTTGGTTGGTACGTATTACTTTGTAAGAGTACATGGCAAATAATTAATTGAGTAATGAGAGTATAAAATGTCTGCAAAGTAGATATTCAATGTAAGTATTGAGTTAATGTGCTTATAGTTGATAGGTCAGCCTATTAAACGATCCTATATTTACCTATATTTACGATCTTTATAAAAAGAAGTCACAAGGAGCTAAGTCGGGGCTCTAAAGTGGGTGAGGTAGAGTTTCAATACCCGATTCTTGAATAAGCGCCTTTGTTGTGAGGGAAGAGTGTTAAGACGCATTGTCGTGGAGCAGCATCATTCCCCGGAGCCTGGTCTTCGGTCGTCTGTCCTGCACAGCTTTGAAACCTTTTGTCAATGCGACTGTAGTGTACCATTTTGAATTAACAAAATTACAATTCTCTCTCTCTCTCTCTTAGCATTCACTTCTGTCATCATCTTTAAGGTTAGTTTTCCCCCTTTTAAATTCGTTAAAACATAATCTAAAAATGGTTGCCCGAGAAGGAGCAGACTTACCTAAAGATGATTTAAACGTTCTAAGCCTAAACCTTCAGATAAACTATATTTAGTATATCATAGCACGCAAATGTTCATTTTTAAATATTTTTTTCAGCATTTGTTGATAGGAAAGGATCGCGCTTTTCTCATAAATTATACCTATTGTACCTGCTTCGAAAACTAGCCGCTCACTGTATATACTGCTTCCAGGAGATGATAAATAAATCTTTGCAAATTCTGTTAGGTTCGGATATTGTTTTGCGTTGGCTGTCAATTTTACTGATTCAGGTTTAAGCCCGGAATATTTGTTATTCGGTATTCGGCCAAATCACTATTCGTGGTATCTCTAATCTAAACCATGGTCAGACTTAAATGAGAATACGTATGTGCCGTGGGTGGAGGACGATATCACAAAAGCAGTGGCTGTGAATCCAGGTATTCTAGTGCCTGCAAAGCGGTATCAATGAGATAAGCCTTCGCCCAAGGAGGGATTCTTTCACACCAAAACTTATAATATATTATTCATCTTTATTATTTAATAAATGGTTTCTCGAATGATGTTAAAGATATTCAGATACAATTTTTAAATAGACATAAACAGCATTACAAAGCTGAAGGTATTTTCACGAAGGTCTCACGAAGGAACAATCCACTGGATGGATTGTCCGTATTTAGGCAAAATGGAACCACACGACAAATTTTGTTTTTTTACTTTTTTTGAAGAATACTCATTTAAAAGTGGTCTAAATTCTTATAAAAAAAAGAACCACATGATTTTGCCCTTGGAAACAGGCTGTACTAAAAGCAGAAAATAACCATCAACAAAAACAAACATTACATATAAAACAAAAAAGGACCACAGCACAATGGTACTCGATTGTTCAACCATTTCATTTTATACAAAACAGATCCACTCATACTTGGTACTATTATACATTACATATATTTATATTATCAACCATTATTTATAATACACCAAATGGAACCAAGTGTCTGTGGTATCTTTATGCGTAAAATAAATTCATGATTTAATTACTAATATTTTTTTTTATAAAATGGAACCACAAGCATTCGGTTCTATAATGTATAAATGAATTTTGTAAAACAGTAGAACCACTAGTATGTGATTCCACTATTCATATAAAGATTTGAAATTCATCATCGCACAAAGGTACCAAATGACATGACTTGTTACATGTCTCTCAACTCTCAACAAAGGATATATGGCTCAAAGTGCAATAACTCAAAATTTCAAAATAAAACGTCAAACATCTGTTAAAATCAGTGGCATTCAACGAAATAGTTCGAATGAGTAACGACCGTTTTTTTATCCTCGAAGAAAGTTGTATTGTTTTATTTAATTTCTTTTAAAATTAGATGTGAAAATGTTCGGCGAGCGCGTTGCGAAGCGCGCGCGAAAAATGGTAAATTTTTTAAAACTGTTGATGGTATATGGTACTGTTATACCTGACAAGAGAGTCGCCAAACTCATTTTTTTTTAAAACGGATTTCCATGTGAGTTCTGTGGAAGTAAATATAGGGAGAGCACCTGTTCGTGGGAGACCAGCTGTAATCTTGTCAGAGCATTTAGTTCCCCTGTGGCCTTCAGGGAAGCCAGTATCACCAGCGAAACTGGCCGATATTCAGTCCATATTACATCTCATTCCACAAGATGCACAAAGTTTTTATAATGGTCTCATTAGTGATGATGCAATAGAAGATGATATAAATGGACTAGACACGGTAGATTTCGAAATGCAATTTGATGAAAACATCGAATAAACGCGCTCTATATGTAAAATTTTCAATTTTTTTAATTTAAACTTTAAAACGATAATATAAATACATAGTTTCATTTATACGAGTAGATCCCTGCGTTGTGGTTCTTTTTTGTATATGTGAAAACCTATTTATTAGTAAATGTTAAAAGGAACCACTTGCACTTCTTAATTATCTTGAAAGTTTCAGAGTATTCAGAGCAAATTTATGTACATATACTTAAAAAAATAGCTTATCAATAAATTTACATAAAATAAATAGTAATTTTACATCATAGGACAGAGCTGCACATGTTTTTGTAAATCCTTTGATATCTCAGAAGTGCGTGTTTGCTGGATGGTTCTTTTTGCATAAATACGGACGATTGTTCTTTCGTGAGACCTCTGATTTAGTAGTTGAATACAATTATCGTTACCAATGAAAATATATTAGTATTATGTAGTAGTACCCAAAACATTCACAGTTTCATTGCGTATATATGTTGAGTGAAGAACCCCTACGCTTACTTACGCTCAAAGACCGAAAACGCTCATTAGTATTTTCGGTCTTTGAGCGTAGGTTAGTGTTACTACTTACTTACGCTTCTGAAAACAGCTTGTTACCAATAATCTGTTTTCAGAAGATGCGTGTTTTAACCCTAACCTGGTTAATAATTAAAATTAAATTTACCTATTTGAAGACGATTGGACCTGTTTAGAGTATTGTCTACCGTTCATTTTTACTAGTTTCGCTCCCCATTTCATCGACTACGAATAAGGAGGACGTTTTTTTTTTTTGCTCTTTTCTATAGAGCATAGGGGAATAACAAACTTCTGTATGCTTGTCTCGAGTTACTAGTACGAAGATAGAGCTTTTACGAGAGATGATAGAGTGCCAAGAAAAAAGTATAAAAAGAATTCAGTAAAATGTGTCTGAGTTTTGGAGTTTTTTTGCAGGCGCTCAATGCATTTACAACTTTGGTTTAGAAGGAAAACTAATTAACATATAATATACAAATCGGGTGGTCTCATTAAAAAGATCAAATAAAATGTTGTTACAAAAATTATGTTATTACGACTGAGTGCATCTCGCCAAAGATAAGAGATGAAAATCTGATTGCCGAGTTATTAACAAGTCATCAATTATCTTAAAACTGCTTCAACTTACGAGGTCATTACGCTTGGCCTTTTTTTTCCGTGCGGAAATCCCCTCGGATACCACCTGTCGGTAGCATATCGGACTCGAACCGACTAAAACCGCACGCCGTCTCGGGTACTAATAGTCGGGGAACCAAGTATACCCTAGAAAGGAAGTCCCTGGTGCCCCGACATACCTCGGGCCATCTACAACAACAAGTAGACGACCCCCCTCCCCCCCCTCGTGTGGGAACCCCATATTCCCTCCGCTCCCTGGAAGCGAGCGCGCTTCGCAACGCGCTCGCCGCCACCCCGGCCTGCTTCTGCTAGGGTGACAGATGGCCTCACCTGTCACCCCCAGTCCCCTGCGGTACCTTTTTTTTTTTTTCCGTGTCCCCTCCCTCGGATCCCCTCGGATACCACCTGTCGGTGGCATGTCGGACACGAACCGACTAAAACCGCACGCCTTCGCCGGGTACTAATAGCCGAGGAACCAGGTCCCCTGCGGTACCTGGCCCGTTCCCGGGCCTGGCGGGCCGGGAGAGTCCTAAACCTCTCCTGGTATTACGCTTGGCCTATTCGTCGCTCTAAAACAAATACGTCATACTACAATAAATGACTTACAAGTGTACATTGAAATCAAGTTAAGCCAACGTTGCGTAAACCAAACACATGAATTTCTTGTTGACTTATATTTAAAGGGCAAACGATGACAGCGCCACTAACGGAATGATCAGATATTTAATTCGAGGTTCATTGCACGACTACTTAGTATGCTAAATAGTTTTACATTTTGACACTAGATGTCGCTATAACAAACTTTTACTCTGAAAGCAGACAAGTAGGTTACCTTTATTTAATGTTTTCTTTGTACAATAGATGTCATGGCCATAAAGAAATATAGGGCAACAAACAATACTAAGAAGGCATGTAAAAAAATCCACCATTGAAACATTATCTTTTAGTCTTTTTTTACTCTTAGTGCTTTGATACAGAGGCAAGCAAAGCTGCTTGAGCTCCAGTTTTGTCTAAGTTCGAGTGTTTTATTTTGTACCCAGCTACCACCGGCTACTAACCTCCGATACCAAAAAAAACATCTTTTTATCTACAATAAATTCGCATGTACAAATACGTAATATTTGCATAGATTTATGATTTAATCAAAACTATATAAACACTCATTCTGTATAACGCATTAATATTTTATTTTTTATTGACTGGCAATACAAGATGAAGCATTTTAAATTATTTATTAATTTATTGCCTTGGTACTTGGTACGAATCAGGGTTGTTACGAATATGAGTATCAGCGTCAGTATCTGCGGATTATCAGCATTATTTTTATTATCAGCATCAGCTTTCGAAGCTGTTATTAAAAAATATTTTAAAATAATTTTAAATTTTTAATGCTGACATTCAAGTCGCAACGTGTTCGTAGAACTCCAAACGACAGTCACGTAGAGTTTTAACCAATCATAGACAGTTATACAAGAAAAAATGTAACCCTTCCTTAGCAGTCGGCTAAAAAAGCTGCCGTTTGTTCCCTCATTCGATGGTTTTGTCAACGTAAATTGATTGGACGTAAGTGATATATTGTGTGACGTGCATGCATAATGCGTGTTAATGCATACTGATATTATAAATGTTTAAGTGAATTTGTTTGCTTATAACGCATACCGCCTAAACCACTAAAGCGATTTTAAAAATTATTTCACCAATGAAAAGCTAAATTATCAGCGAGTAACTTAAGCCACTTTTTACCATGATAACCTATATACACGCGGGTGGAGCCGCGGGCAAAAGCTTGTTTATGATATAAAAATGTGTGTGAAAGTGAGTAGTAGTAAGTATAAATAACTTATGTTTTATTCAATAATAATGATATAATAATAATATTCTACCACATTCACACAACGCCATCTAGTCCCAAACTAAGCAAAAGCTTGATATCAATACATTTTTACTTTTTTAATAAATATTTATTATACATAGAAACACCTAAACCGAATCAAACATTAAATATGTTCACGCACACAAATGTTTGACTTGAGCGGGAATCGAACCCGCGACCTTTGGAATAGCAGTTCGTTACACAAACCACTACGCCATTCGGTCGTCAACGTCAAAATATTAAGTCATAGTTGCTAATAATTTTATACTAGGATATGTTTTATTTAATTGACTTATCAACATCAGCATCCGCTGACATTGATCTGCAAACATCAGCATCCGCTGATAGAGTAAAAATCTAAATCAGCAACAACTGTGGTACGCATCTAAACACATCGAACCGGGAGTCAGGGTGACAAAACCTTTGACTATATACCGTATAATATCCATATTTATATCCACATATTTTGAAAAATGTAGTCACTACTTTAAAAATTAGTTATAAAACCCTTGAATAAAACATAGAGACCTATATTATTGTATTAAAATTATAATTTTTATCTCAGATCGTCCATAAATCTTTTTCTACTTGTATATAGTGAGAAGCTGCTAAAACCAAGCCCCTAATAACCAACTGGCTCTCACGGTCAGACCTAACAGCAAGATGGACTTTAAGGGCCTAGTAAACTTTTAAATTCACAACCTCATTTTTAAGTAAAGATCGGCCCAATCATTATATGTTGCGGCCCGATCGCATATTTGCGACCAGGCCGCCATCCTACCGCCTACTTCCTGGCAGCCTGTGGCCCTGTCGACGGCTGGTAGCGCCACTCGCTGGTATCGGCCCTCTGACGATGCCGTTCAGCGGTCTCTTTCTGGAGCATTACAGCTTCACAGAAAGAGACCACTGCGCCCAAGAACTCCTCACCTGCTAGCATGGTTGGTCGATCAGGATTTCGCGTTCATACGCCCACGTGGGGCAGTCTTCCAGCGTGTGCTGGGCGAGGTCCCAGTCGACTGCTCAGTGCTGGCATTGTGCCATCTCCTCGCGTTTGAGTTTGAGTCAAGTCAGACAATCAATTCGTGACAACTGTATCATAAATATTATAGGTATCTAATCATAGAAATCGCAATAATTGTTATTACGATTTGTGTGTATCTAATACATTATATTTAACTTACTTTGTCTTCTGCAAAAATGCGTCTATGTACATAGATATTCATCGATGTAAGAATTTCAACAATCAATAAAACAGAACAGTGTTGTAACTACAATAAATAACAATACTAATGATTTGGCAACCTGGAGAGGAAATAATGAGTGGCATATTAAAATGTATCTTGACGATGCCATCGGCCATGATGCCATCGTTAATTACCCTCTCACATATTAAAACATCAATCGCTTGTTAATATTCTCGTAATGCTAGGGTCTTTGTCCCGTGGCTTATCAGATCTGATAGAAAACGATGTTCACAGCTAAGATTACACGTTTTTTTAGGTTTGACTGTATGGGATCATAGCCCGATGTAATAGTTTTAAGACACAATTAGATCAACAGAAGATTGATCATCAATTACGAGTATTGAACTACATAAGTATATTGAATACATATTCTACTACAATACAGTATCTACTTTTTTAAAGGATATAAACAATCAACTTTATACATTTAATCAAACGGTCAAACGACAAAGGGCATCAAAAAACAAAGAAGATTTTTAATTTGGTTGTATATTTTTATGTTTGTTACCTCAAAATTCTGGCATTTATGTAAGTACCGATTTGGCAAATTCATTTCTTATATTCGAAGGTATACTTAACGTTTGATCCCATTTAAATTAGAAGCAAAAATAGGTCCCCTAAGGTCCCAAAATATTGAATACAGTTTATTACAATTCGTTATAACGTGGGCGCATTACAGTCGGTCAAACTTTTTTTAAATTTAATTTTTTCTTGTTTGATGTTCATTATTACAATGCAATTTACACCCGTAGA